ATACATGTACATTTGTTCTGAGTAGACAGCAAAGTGCTGGATGCCAGAATGAATATGGGCCCTTTGTCTTTGTGCTTAAACATGACATGTGACATTAGCTAAACCTTTGTATTCCTTCACATCCATAAGGCTGAAGCCCGGAGTACTCAAATTTATTGGTCCACTCTTGATAGAAACCATAGTGTGTTCCCTCTGCCAGCTGGCTGTTCCTAGTGCTCTGCCTCGTGGGGAGAGGGGGAGGTATTCAGAGGCACTCTCAAGAGGGCGGGCTTTGGGATCAGAACAGGCCTCCCAACTGTCAGATTGCAAACTGACTAGGTCAAGCCTTAGGGGAATAGTCAGAAATAGACCACATAGCTGTGTGCTCTGCTGCTGTTCTCTTGCTAGCACTCCCTGCTTAGCTGGCTCCTGGGACCTTGGTAGACATGAGATGGAGATGTAGGCTGGACCATGGCTGCGTAGCACGGCTTGTTTCCTCTGCTGACTAAAGCCCAACCCCAGTGGCTTTACTTCTGCTGTGTGATATTGACAGATGTGTGTGTGGCAGCACTTTGAATCTTTGTACAGGAGGAGCGTGTCCTGGAAGTGCAGCCTGCAGAAGCCTTCCTTCCACCTAGGCTCTTTCACCGTGTTGATCTTGTTTGGGGGTTTTAATTCTCATTGTTGGGATGTTCTGTTTGTTTGTTCTGTTTCATTTTGTTCATTGTTTTTGTTTTTCCACTTTTATTTTGTCCCGACATTTTCCTTTATAGTCCACCATTAGATATTGATCAGTTGAAACTCATTTTAAGACTCGTTGGAACCCCAGGGGCTGAGCTTCTGAAGAAAATCTCCTCAGAGTCTGTGAGTTGAAGCCTTGATTGTAATTACTGCCCTTTTGGGAGCCACTTGCCTTCCGTCATTCTGCACTTTGACCTTTGAATGTTTGTGAGTGTGTGTGCTCTGTGCATGTATATGCACACATGTGAGCCTGCATGTGCCTGCTTGCATGCATGAGTGTGTTTTAATCTATCTTTATCTGGGTGTGGACTTAAGATCATGGGAACCCCTTTGGGGCAATTGTATGCTAATAAAACTGAGAGTTGAGATTCCAGTTCATGCTAAGAGATTAATGGGAAATCTGTGTCTACTTGTGAGCTCTTGCTTCTCTCTGAGATTGACCACATGCTCAAAGGCTCTTTCTGCTTCCTGAGAGTCTATAATCTCTGAGCACTTACCATGTGCTAGTCTGAGATCGTCTCTGGGGGGGGTCAGCTGCTTCTTTACTTCCCTTGAGGGGCTCGTCCTGTGCAGGGAGCCTTCTCATGGGGATCCTGTCCCCCACCCACCCACCCACCCCCAGACCACGCAGAGAAGCTTACTCCACTCCTGACAATCAGCAGACGGCTCTGAGCTCCTCTAGGTACCTTGGTAAATACAGTGACCTATGGAGGCCCTAAGAAGGTGACTCCAGTTTACTTTAGCAATTTTTTTTTAAGCTGTTGGTTGCTTTCTGAGGCCAGAAATTTTGAGGAAGCTAGGAAAGCCCCTCATTCCCTCTTAGGGAAATAAACTGAGGAGCCAAGCCCCAGCTGTGCCCTCCTAGGTCCTCCCACCACTTCCTAGTGCTGGGGCCCTCTGCCCAGTTGGGTAGCAGGAAGCAGGCAGTAACACATCACCTCGTCTGGGAAGGTCAGGACCCAGCATGTGATCTGTGGCTGTACATAAAGGGCGTGGACTCAGAACAGCTTTGAGTTTCTGTTCTGAGTGTGTAAAATGGTGTGCTAGACACACCAAAGTGCATCCTTTACTTGTTAAGATAAGGAAGTGAAGACACAGAAGCCGTGACTGGGAATGGGAGCTCATCCTCGTGCACTTGCACATTAGTGTGGAGGGCACTGTCAGAGTGGGCCAGCCGGAGAGCCAGAGCTACTAGGGGCCTTTAGAAAGGAAGGGCTGTGGGGTTTGTTTTAGCGTGCTAAAAAGAGTGGCTGGACGCCAGGTGGTGGTGGTGCACGCCTTTAATCCCAACACGTAGGAGACAGAGGCAGGTGGATCTCTGTGAGTTCAAGGGCAGCCTTGTCTACAGAGCAAGTTCCAGGACAGCCAGAGCCAGGACTGTTACAGAGAAACTCTGTCTCAAATAAATAAATAAATAAATAAATAAATAAATACATACATACATACTGGTAAGAGGACGTGGGGCAGGGTGGGGCTTGGGAAGGAGTCCGGCTAGATAGAGGATAGTGTTGAGGTATCCTCTTCCCGCCTCCGTCTGCCCTGTAGGTGTGTGCCGCTTGCTATAGGTTCTGAAACACATCTGTATGTACTCATCACTAACCCATTATCTCTGTTTAAGAAACAATGCTGTACACGTGGCCTAATATGAGATGTCTTTATCTTAACATGCAATGGACATCATACATTTCAACAGTTCTACTGCAGCCCTGGGCAAGATTAAATCAGGTACCAAAGTAAGCATCCTCTCAATAACATTCTGTTAAACATAGTTATGAGAAAGGAGCTTTTTACCTACATAACTGTCAGGAGTGGATCAGGGTAAACTACATGTTTAAAAGTGTTGGCAAGGTTGATTTAATGTTGATGACACCACCTAGTACTTTTGAATGTCAAAGCACATGATGCCAGGTGTGATGGTACAAGCTTGTAACCCCAGCACTTGGGCAGAGGCAGAGGGATTGAAGAGTTTGAAACTGGCCTAGGCTACATAGCAACTTTGAGGCTAGTCTAGGCTAATTTGTAAGACATTATTTAAAAAAAAAAAAAAAAGCAGTGATGGCACACACCTTAAATCCCAGCACTCAGGGAGGCAGAGGCAGGCGGATCTCCAGGTTTGAGGCCAGCCTGGTCTACAGAGTTGAGTTGAGTTCCAGGACAGCCAGGGCTATGCAAAGAAGCCAGGTGTTGAGTTGTAGCTTAGTTACATCAGCGAGACCATGGGTTTCTTTCCCAGAAGCCCATAAGGGTGAAGAGCACAAAGTGCCTAAGTACAGGTGGGAAAAAAGCCAGGTGAGTAAAATTACTGAGAAAATTGAAAAATGAAAGCCATTAGTAAAGACTCGTAGTCAACAGAACGCTATAGATACTTCGTTTCTCCCAGGAGGAATGGAGCAGTGACGCCAGCAAGACAGGCACATAGGCCCTGAGTAGCAGAATGTGGGGATGGGTTAAATAGTCATGATGGAGGCCCGAGGGCAGAACTGACTTGGCCTGGCACCTAGATTAACCAGGGAAGGAATAAACCACAATACTAAGAAAGCAAAGCCCTAGCCGGCAGTGGTGGCACACACCTTTAATCACAGAGGCAGGCGGATCTCTGTGTGTTCAGGGCCAGCCTGGTCTACAAGAGCTAGTTCCAGGACAGACTCCAAAGGCACAGAGAAACCCTGTCTCAAAAGAAAAAAAAAAAAAAAAGAAAGCAAAGCCCTTTAGAAGTCTTTCTGATCCTTAGATAGGGGGGCAGCAGGGGCAGGGGTGTCTGATCCTGTTTCACAAAAGCAGACAAAGCCAGATCTTGTACATGTGATTCCCAAGGAAAGAGTTGGCAGGACTTGGGTGTGTGAGACCTAACTGAATCCTGCCCTGCCTGGTTCACTCTGAGGCCCTGTTTATTCTTTCTCTTAGCATGCAGAGTATTGTTCAGAATGTAGTGTGCTGGAGGGTAAGTCTAGAGTCTGGTCAGAGGCCAGCCCGTCTTTGGGCTCAGTGGGCAGACGGGCAGCTGTATTAAGAGTAACCTGACGTCGAACAGCATTTGGCACACTCGAGCTAACGCGGAAGCGGCATTCAGGGGAGCCATGATGAAGTGCTATTATTTGGCTTGGTGTTTATTAAAGATGAGATGTCAGTTGAAGGATGAACTTGATACTTAAGGGAGTAGAAAGGAAACTCACTAAACCATGTTAAGATTTAAATGCCGTCACCACTTCTGTTTTGAGAGGGAGTGTGTGACACACTGGCAGTGGGCTCTTAGATTTTAGGAGCTGTAACTTATAGCTGGTAAACTGATTCTTAGGACCCGCACGGTGGGAGAAGAGAATTGACTCCTACAACCTAGAGGCCCCTGACCTGCACGCATGAGTGGTGTGTGTGACCTGCCCTTACCGCCACACACAAACACTGTAGAAGTGCAGTGAGTAAAGCTTTCCCCATCAGATAAACATGGCACTTTGAACGTTCTGTTCATTGACGCTATGTGTTCACTCACTGTAGGTATGGCGGAATTATTGTGGCATGCTGGTACCAGCCTGTGCCTACCTATGTGTTTGTGGCATGTTGTTGGTTTTTTTTTGTTTTGTTTTGTTTTTGTTTTGTTTTGTTTTTTTGAGACAGGGTTTCTCTGTGTAGCCCTGGCTGTCCTAGAACTCACTCTGTAGACCAGGCTGGCCTCAGACTCAAAGAGCTCCACCTGCCTCTGCCACCCGAGTGCTGGGATTAAAGGCCTGCGCCACCACCGCCCAGCTGTGGCATGCATCTTAAATGTAACATTGCCAGTGTCTTTGAGACTTGGCATAGCTCAACACCCACTCTCTTGTCTCAACTTGGGGTGTGACTCCTAGAGAACCTGTGTCCCCAGCACTCAGCCTCTTCCTCGGGTGGGTCTAGATCTTTCAGTTTTCCCGAGTTTAGTTTACCATTGTCCCCACATTCCATCTTTGCCATTGTGGTACTTCAAAACAGTTCTCTGGCTAACATCCTGGATCAAGGAGCGTTCTGCTTCCAGGAACCTTGAACTATTTAAAGTAAAGTTGACACTTAGGGAAAAGCTAGTTTTCGTGTCTGCATGGCCACTCGCTGGCTAGGTGCCTAATAGTGCCTGCCATTCTCCAAAAAAAAAAAAAAAAAAAATGTTTTAGCACGTACCTTAGACTCTGAGCTGGGGCAGATGGGAAATAGAGCTGTTTTCTTTGGGGATAGCTTTTAGACTTTAAAAACAAAAACACAGCTAGAGTTGATTTTTGAACTGTGTGTTTAACAATACCCTTGACTAGGCGTCTAAGATATTAACCAGCTTCAGCAGATAATGCGTCTGACGGGGACACCCCCTGCTTATCTCATTAACAGGATGCCAAGCCATGAGGTGAGAACCAACAGCACATTCAGGGAGGTCTAACTCAGAGGCCACCTTCTCGTTGTAATGTCTGTGTCTAACCAGCAGTTTCTGATGTCACCAAATGCTTGCATGTGCCCCGAGGACTGCTGCGGCAGTGACTGGCTGTGTGCTGCCAGGGTACTGGCATTTGGGATGAAATGTCATGCAGTCTGAGGCAGTGAGATAGTGTAGGCTTGTAGGTACAAAGTAATGTTCATTGGTGTTTGGTTTTCTGAATCTTGTGCTTGAGGCCCCGTGTGTCTTAGTTGGTGTGTAGTTAGTATGTGCTACAGCTTCATCACAGGTGCGAAACACCTTCTGCTAATGGATTGCTGTGTTTTTTTTAGAGACACAAGTGGTCCATATTAAATATGAGCACTCAGGTAGAATCCGGTTCTTGACCAGTTCATAATCATTACCCTATCTCCAGTTTGTAGTCAGAGGTGACTGGGATACTTCTCACAGGCCCTTGGTATTTTGGGGAACCAGGTTAGCAAACAAACAAACCATCATGGTGGCACTGTTGTCATTTCAGCCCTGTCTGAACACTCTCCTTGTCTGCACTAGGACGGCTTCTCTGGGGGAGATGGGTCTCTACCTCTCTTCAATTCCTTCTTCCAGTCTGCATGGCTATGTAGGAAGGGATGACAGCCATGTGTCTGTTGCTATAACTGCAGGTTAGAGTAAGTCTCTGCTGCAGTACCAGCTCCTCTTCCAGATGTAGCTGACTAGAAAGACAATCCAGGAAAAGACCACTTCTTAGAAGTCTCGGTTCTCTTCAAACTTCTGACCCTATCTGTGATGAGAAAACTAATGAAGGGTAGTTGATTGGTTAGCAGTCTCATCCCCGTGAAACAGAACAATTCTGGTGGACAGCAAGAATACAGTCAGTGGTCTCAAATCGAGGAGCTGAGGGCTAGAAGAACCGCTGAGACAGTGATCCGCACTGGGCTGCTGACACTCCGAGAGCAATAACAGTACTGAACACAGTCATTCTGAGAGTCCATGTTTTTACAGGCAAGAAACTACATTCAGTCCCTGGCCCAGATGCCGAAGATGAACTTCGCAAATGTGTTTATTGGCGCCAACCCCCTGGGTAAGTTGATCTCGTTCATTTGGGGACTTGAAATTTTGTTGTGTAAGTGTCTTTTGGATCTTAGTAAACATGGCTGTTACTGCCTGCCTATGCTGTCACATTTAAGGAAGAATCATACAGTGGGGTATGGAGGGAGAAAGGATGCGTGTAGCAGACTGGAAACCTGTGGGAAGAAGGCAGCAGACTAGAAGCAGACATTGATCCTCACAGCTGCTGGTGGCAGATGGGGCCCAGCTGAGGGCAGAATGCAGAGACAGGGCCATGCTTAGTGCCCAGCATCCTGTTGCCCTCCACTCTCACAAACTCTTTCCTCTTATCTCTGCCCTTCCAGGACCTAACCAGCTGCCTTTGCAGAGTTAATTTGCCATCTCAGTACTTCAGCTCAATTCCTTCCTGCCCCCATCACCTCTAGGATCCCCTGGCAAACGGAAGTGACAATGGTAGCTAAGAATGTGTCTTCCCAGGGGTTGGAGAGATAGGTCAGCATTTAAGAGCACTGGCTGCTCTTATAGAGGACCTGGGTTCAATTCCCAGCACCCACATGATAGCTCACAACTGTCTGTACTCCTGTTCCAGGTGATCTGGCACCCTCACACAGACATACGTGCAATAAAATAAAAATAAATCTTTTTTTAAAAAAAAGATATGCCTTAGCCAAAACTCCAGTTACTATTCCTTAAAGATGGGCTAATAAATATGTACTTCAGCTGATTCCAGCAGCTGCTTAGGCGCTGCTTACTCTGGGACATTGTAGTGGGCAGTAGTAGACACAGAAGGCCAGACCACAGACTCGCTGCAATGGGAAGGGAGTGAGTGGGTGTGGCAGCTGGTGTCCTTGGCCTCCTCACATTCCTGCAGATATTACTGAAGGCTGCTTTTAAAGCTCACTGCTTGCACTGCATGTGGGTCATGTTACTTTCTGAGGCCTCCAGAAGCCTTGCACCAGAGTGGACCAAAGTCAGCTGTTGCCTCCAGAGAGCTGGGGGCCAGGGCAGTGGGTTCAGAAGCTGTTTCCCATACAGGAATGCCATCCATAGCCACGGTGCAGTGGGCTGTGCACTCTCTGTGGCAGGAGAGGTGCCCGCACTCTTGGAGGAGTGAGTCCAGCCTAAGCTACATCAGTCAGGCCTTGGGTGTGCAGGGTACGGAGGGGTTGGGTTGGCTTTGCAGCCTCCGTGACATGTTCTCATTGTTCTTCTGTGACATGTCTCATTGTTCTTCTGTGACATGTTCTCATTGGTCCTCCGTGACATGTTCTCATTGGTCCTCCGTGACATGTTCTCATTGGTCCTCCATGACATGCTTTAGCTGCAGCATCCAGGTAGAGGTCTGTGATCTGTAAGGTCTCTGGGATGTTAGGGGGATGGAAAATGAGTCCACCCCAGCACCCCACATTTCAGATGCATCAGTGCCTGTTTGACTCCCTCTTGTCTGCCTCAAAAGGATTTCTTCTGCCTGTGATTGAAGTCACACACATCCTGATAGGTGTCCCCACTTAAACATTGAAAAGAACCAGCTACCAGGAGTCAGTCCAGACTTCTGGGGAGTGAAATCTGGTGCTCAGCACAGCCTGCTCATATCCAGACGTGCCTCACAGCCCATTGCCAAGTGTTGATGTCAGGGGGAACACGCTGTGACCGATCACTAGCGTCTCCAACATGCTAGCTGGCCGCATACCAGTGATATATTAGCTGCTCTGTGGTCAGACACTGGCTTCGCATCACTGCTGTTCCTGAACGAAGCATAACTGAGAACTTCATTGTCCGCCACGATCCCTGAGAAGTCGTTTTCTTTCTTCTGACCTTGTTCTCATCTAAGTACATTGGTCCTGAGGATGTATAGCTTTTTACCATAGTGTGGCAGGCAACCACCCATTTGTGTTCAGTATAAAATCAACAGACTTGTGGAAGACCATGAGAAGAATATCTAGGCAGTTCTCCTGGTGCTTCAGTATTGTTGAAGACAATGTCATGTGGCCTGTTTTCTGGTCCTCTGCTTCCTCTCCCAAGTGCTGGGATTCCAGTGTGCACCACCATACTCTGTGTATGCACTGCTGGTTTGGAATCAAAAACCTTGTGCACACTTGGCAAGCACTCTACAGGCTACATCCCAGCCCCTCTCTAAAGTATAGGCTCACGAATCTGAGCATCTGCATATTTCCTGTCTCCTCTGCACCCTCAAAGCTTGTATTTCCTGTGGATGATGACTCTGGAGTTCTGGCTGCAAGATGCTTGATTACTGTGATAGCAGAGGACATGAGAGGACATCATGTCTTCAGGAAGCTTTCCTCCTCCTTGGCACCCACAGCCCTCACTGTGAAGAAACCTCAGCCTCTGATGAGGCCATGACACTGGGGAGAAAAAGATCAGTAATGCTGAAACCATTATCGAAAGTGACTGATACTCACCAGGAGCCAAAATATTCCCAGATGACTCACGTGGGGAGAGAAGGGAACTCTGTCAAGATGCTGTCACCTTTAGCTCCGCTGGCAGTGGAGCAAGTGGCTGTCGTGCCCCACCAGTTCAGAGCACCATGGCCTGTGACGTGTTTGTGCCCAGTGTGCCTGACTTCATTCTGACCAGAGATTTAGACTTTTTTTTTTTTTTTTGATATATCTAAAGAATCGGAAAATGGGAGGGTGGGTACATCAACACAGAGAAATAGTGGAAACCTGTGTGGCTGTCTGCTTGCATATCTGGAATATGCCAGTGTGCTCAGGAGGGTGAGTTCAAGGTCAGCCTGGACTAGATGAGACAGCTTCAGAAAAGCCAGAGAGAGAGAGAGCCCCATATGCAAATCCTGGTTTGAACAAGTGCGTTGTAGGAGACAGCTGTGAACTGGAGACGTTTTTACCGCACACTGGGTTTGGGTTAATGACAGTGTCGTGGTGTGCAGGGCCATGTCTTTGTGCTGCAATGTTTGGGCTGTAAAGTGTCATCTCAGTAATCTTCAAACAGTTCAGGAGGAGCACAGAAAGAAGGTGAGAAATTTGTCAGACGTGGACTGATGCCCATGCATGGGGCATGGGTGCCCCTGCTGTTTTAACAGCTAGTTCTGGATCTCGGATTTTCACTCTATGGGTCATAAGGATCAGATATCTTTATCGAGAAGTATCTTTTCTCCTACGACCCTCTGGGAAGGCCTCAACTTGCTAATTGTTTGAAATTCTGGATGAATATTTATTTATATTGTTAGTATATAACATTATGTACTGTTATATAAGTTGTATAGTATGCGGGGGGGGGGGCCCTAGGTCAAACAGCCTGCCTCATAGATTGCTTTAGCCGTCAATCTCCTTTTCAGTACAGTTTGGTTCAGTAGTCACAGTGTGGTGTTGACATTGCAGGAAAGCTTCAAAGCCTGGTTTTGGGGAGTATATTTTGCTTTGTTTTTGAGGGGTTATTTTGGGGGTGGTAAGACAGGGTCTCACTATGTAGCTCTGGTTGTTCAGGAACTTGTTATGTAGACCAGGCAGGTTTCTAACTCACAGAGATCCTCCTGCCTCTGCCTCTGCCTCCCAAGTGCTGGGATTAAAGGTGTGAGCAATCTCGCCCAACCCAAATTTTTTGTTTCTACGCTTTCTTTTAACAGTTTGTTTATTGTCCTGGGTTTGAAACCCAGGACATGAAGAATGTTCAGGGAAATACATACCTGCCCAGCCCAGTAATTTTTTTTCTTAAATAATACACACACATATAGTTTATTTTCATTTTTTTATATGCGTTGTTGATGTTTTGTCTGTATGTATGTCCGTGTGAGTGTATCAGATCTTAGAGTTACAAGCAGTTGTGAGCTGCCATGTGGGTGCTGAGAATTGAACCCCTGCCCTCTGGAATAACAGCCTGTGCTCTTAACCACTAAGCCATCTCTCCAGCCCCTCCAGTAATTTTCTTAAAATGTGCCAGCTAGCTTCATACATGTACACACAGGAAAGGGGTTGCATGCAGGAGCAGATACCTGAGAAGATTCTTTGTTTGGCTGTCGTGGTGGCGGCACTAATGTCATGTGTTCTCTTCTCGTGGACAGCTGTGGACCTGCTGGAAAAGATGCTCGTCCTGGACTCAGATAAGAGGATCACAGCAGCCCAAGCCCTGGCACATGCCTACTTCGCTCAGTACCACGACCCTGATGACGAGCCTGTGGCCGACCCTTACGACCAGTCCTTCGAAAGCAGGGACCTCCTGATAGATGAGTGGAAAAGTAGGTCCAGCAGCGGGCTAGCGCAGCTCAAGAGCTTGACCTCAGTTTATTCTTGGTTTGCTGTTTCTCTCTGTAGGGCTGGCTGTCTCTGTAGGGCTGGCTGTCTCTCTTGGAACTGGCTCTGTAGACCAGACCTACCTTTGCCTCCTAAGTGCTGAAAAATGTGTACCACCATGCCCAGCTTATTGGACTTCACACATACTCCACAAGTGTTCTACCACTGAACCACATGACCAATCCGAGAACTTATTTTTAAAAATCTTTTCTGGGGCCAAATGGTGGTGGCACACACTTTTAATCCCAGCACTCGGGGGGCGGGGCAGAGACAGATCTCTGTGAGTTTGAGGCCAGCCTGGTCTACAGAGAAAAAGCTGTCTTGAAAAACAAAAAACAAACAAACAAAAAAAACTTTTCTGGGAAAAATAAGAACTCATCAATGGCCACCTAGTATTGTGGTTCTGGTACTCGGGGTAATTCACACTGCATACATAGGTAGTTTGAGGTCCTGTCTCAGTAAAGCCCTTGTGAATAGTTATTGCCAGCTCACTAAACTTAGAGCCATGGTCTTTGGTGCATACGTTCCCTGGTGCAGTCTGCAGGCGCACTCTCAGAGTGTACAGCTCTTCACACTGACAGCTTTGGGACCGGGGCAGGGTTGCACTGACAGCATCTCTGGAGTAAGTGGGGCCAGTGCATTCTCAGTGTCCAGTAGACAGAATTGGGACAGGAGGTTGGTTGGTTTGGGTTTGGATCCTGTCCTGGAACTAGCTTTTGTAGACCAGGCTGGCCTCAAACTCACAGAGATCCACCTGCCTCTGCCTCTGCCTCTGCTGGGATTAAAGGCGTGCGACACCACTGCCCAGCCAAGGGCAAGAGTTTTTATAGCTTACCTTTGGCCTTGTTAGGAACTGCCAGGAATAGAGCCACATCTCTTTCATCCAATGTCAAATTCCTTCATAAATCACAAGGTCAGCTCTCTAGTTAGCCCCCAGAGCTAGGCCTGTCCACTGCAGTACCTGGTGGACTGCCCCTGAGCAGTAATGAGAGGCGGGATAGCCTCCGTGTGAGCCATGCTGCAGGTCACGAGCAAGTAGCGAGGCGGATGAGGGAGTGTCTCCGTTCTCACAGCTCACCATTCCTTCCCTGTCACAGGCCTGACCTACGATGAAGTCATCAGCTTTGTGCCACCGCCCCTTGACCAAGAAGAAATGGAGTCCTGAACACCTGGTTCTGTTCTGTCGATCCCACTTCACTGTGAGGGGAAGGCCTTTTCATGGGAACTCTCCAAATATCATTCAAGTGCCTCTTGTTGAAAGATTCCTTCATGGTGGAAAGGGGTGCATGTATGTGCATAGTGTGTGTGTGTGTCTGTCTGTCTGTCTGTCTGTCTGTATTTGTGGATGGAAGTCACTTCATGAGTTGTGGATGCTCCATGGCAGCCTCTGCCTGCTTTCTCAGAGTCTGGGCAAGCTGATGGAAACTACTATCTTGTTGGGGATGTATTAAGTGCAGAGTAAAATTATCCCTATTCCTAGTTACACTTTTGCCACTCTGGCTTCTCTTGTGTCCCAGCCTTTACCACACACCACAGTGGTACAGAGAGGCCGTCCCCCAGCCATGCCTCCAGCTGAAGAGGAGCACCTGGCTCCTGAGCTCTTGCTGTGATTGGCTGGCTGCTCACCATGGTCCCAGAGCCCGACAGATGTGTCCAAAGCTGCCAGTCTGTGCCTTAAAAGGAGAAGGACGCATAGATAGTTCCAGAACCGCAGCTGCTGACATTCTGAGCCAGGCGAGTGCGCAGGGCTGTTGGGTGGCCAGTAGTGAGCTGGAAGAAACAAGGCAGCCTTCAGGGAGGCCGTGTGTCTGTGTGTCTGTGTGTTTCCGCGTGCGTGCGCGCATGTGCATGCATGTCTGTGTGGCCACCCTCCCTCTCCCAGGAGTGAGCGGTGTCTGTGCTTACCCCTCACCTCAGTACAGAGATCTCCAGTGCCAGCTGCAGGTTCCTGCTGTCAGCCGCTTCCTGTGTGCTCTTCACGTCTAGCAGAGTGCGGGTGTGTTTGCATGCTTGTACAACCCCTGTCTGACTGCCAGGCGCGTGGAGACTTCCTGGCCGCCCTAGTCCACGTTGCCTCAGCTGATGCCATGGGCACGCTCCTCTGTGTTGAACACAGCTGATCCTCCAGGTGCTCACGGTGCAGAGACACACGGGACGGACAGAGCACCTGGAGGCTTGCCATCTGACTGTCACCAATCAAGGGGAAACGAGGCCTTTCCTCAGAATGTCCTCAGCTCTGGAAATCGTGTTCTCCTCACTTGTGATAACCAGCTAAGAAACTCTGAACTGAAGTGAGGAGCAAAGGCTCGTGGGCCAGGACTCCTTCCAGTCTCTCTCAGTAGTGTTGCTAGGGCAGAGCCAGGCAGTCAGAGGCACCTTTTTGTGGAAGGGTCCTCCCGGCAGCTTGACACTGACTGATTCTCGGTCTCAGTGTTGATTTGGGGAAAAATCAATTTTGTCTTGGAATTTTGTATGTTTTAGGAATCCTGAGAGAATGTGATTCCTTCTGATGGGGAGAAAGGGCAAATTATTTTAATGTTTTGTATTTTCACCTTTATAAAGATGAAATCCTCAGGGGTGAAGAACTGTTTGCATAACTCTGAATTTCAGGCACTTTGTGCTATATGAGGACCCATATATTTAAGCCTTTTGTGTAATAAGAAAATGTACAGCCAATTCCAGTGTTGGCCGTGACAGGTCTTGTATTTAGGTCAAGGTGTCTCTATTCTCTATCAGTGCAGGGACATGCATGCTCCAGACTGCCAGGGTAGAACCCCGCATCACCCGGAGCCAAGAAGGAGGCAGACTGGCCAGGCCTTGCCACTCAGTGTGCACCTCAGCTCCCACAGGGCGCAGGACGCATCCGAGTGGCGTGTCTGGTTATGAAGGCAAGTGTGATTCCCGACAGTTCTGCTCGGATTACTTTATTGCAGATGTCTTTGCACATGTGACCATGCTGTGTTAAGAGGCAGTGCTCCGGGGCCCGGACTCACTGGAGCTGGCTGAAGAGCTCCTGGCATCCATAGCCAAATGCTGCCATCTCCCGGGTTCTCCTCCAGAAAACAAGGGAATGAGGGAACTGCTGTTCTGTGTGTATTCATGAACTCGGCTGTAGTCCCATACGCCATAGGATGTCAGGCAATACCACTGGGTAAATAAAGCCTATTTTTCAAAGTCAGTGCTTTCTCAAGTTTACTGTGTTCCTCTCCATGATGGTTTCAGCATGGCCTGGCACATGTTTCCGGCAGACCCTTTAGAGCTGTCTAGTTCACACATGGTAAGAGCAGGCTGGGCCGGCAAACACCTGTTTCCACAGTGTCACGTGATTGAAAGGGTCCAAAGATTATTTTTTTGTAGCATGCATGAACTGATGTACAAGTTGAATCCCAGTGACCAGAAATTAAGTCTGATGGGAGAATGCCCACAGTTTGCTCCATGCCCTCTGGCGGCCTCGCTGCAGTGAGAGCTGGAATAGTTGAGACAGAAACCACGGGATTCACCACCTGCCTGCTTAGCGTTTGGCCCTTGTCAGCTCCACTGACCACTCTTACACAGTGAATTTTAAGTTGCTTTCTGATTAAATATTCTAAGACTTGATATGCTATATATTTTTATCTTTAAATTGACAGAGAGGGGGCTGGGCATGAGCCTATGTGTGTAGGATCATAGTACATCTGTTTGACTCCGCTGTCTTCATGTCCCTGGAAAATGCCTTTTAAAACTAGCAATCTGCACCATGGGATTAAAGGCTGCAGGGTCTCACAGCTGGGCTCTCAGGGTCCCCAGCTATCCTGAGAAGACAGTGAAGGAAGCACACAGCTGGGTGTTTGGACCCATGAGAGCCATTTTCTGGCGGCCAGCAGGAAATAATGTCGATAGTCACAACACTGGTGTAGGCTCCATTCTTTTCCCATGAGCATAAGAAAAGGTGGCTTCAGCTAGCACGCAGGTGTGGGTGGCTCTGGTAAAACTCAGCTACGCCAGCAAGATGGCTTAGGAGTAGAGTGGTTTGTCACCAAGCCTGACAACCCGCATTCAATCCTAGGAACCCACATAGGGGAAAGAAAGAACCAACTCTCAAGTTGTCCTGACCTCCACATAAACAGAATATTTTAATGTAATAAAAATAAAAATCAGACCTTTAATCCCAGCACTCGGGAGGCAGAGGCAGGAGGATCTCTGTGAGTTTGAAGCCAGCCTGGGCTACAAGAGCTAGTTCCAGGACAGGCTCCAAAGCTACAGAGAAACTCGAAAATAAATAAAATAAAACCAAATAAAAATAAAAATCAGACAATTTGGGGGGCTAACAGACCTGGACCCAGCTCTCCTGGGGCTATGAGTGGGCCTGCTTAGACCAAGGAGAACTGACCCAGAAACTTGGGTGAATGAACTTCACATGGTAACCAGAGCCTCTTAGGATATAGACGGAAGAGGTAAGGAAGAGGTAAGGGGAGCGCTCTGGTTGCTATTCTTACCCCCAAGCAGCTAACAAAAATGTGTTCCAAGAACAAAGAATGATCCCAGTGTTCGGTTTTCAAATGAAACAGTGTCATTTGTATTTTGCAACGTGGTCACAGATGTAACTTCTATAAAAGCTAAAAGGTGGGCTGGGGAGATGTCTCTGTCAGCAGAGGAGTTGCCTTGCAAGTCAGAAGCACCTGATCAATCCCCAGAACCTTGTACAGATGTCTAGGTAGGGTAGCATTCACCTGCAAACCCAGACGGGCAGATCTCAGGCTCCCTGGTCAGCCAGCATAGTCTACTTCAGGACAGTGAGAGCCTGCCTCAAAAAACGTGGGGCCTAGAGAGATGGCTCAGCAGTTAAGAGAACTGGCTGCTTTTGCAGAGGACTCAGGTTCAATTCCCAGCACCTTCTTGGCAGCTCACAGCTGTAACTCCAGTTCCAAGCAGCCTGATGTCCACTTCAGGCCTGTGAAGGCACCAGAGACAGTGCACAGACGCACATGCAGACAAAACATGCATTAAATAATTTTTTAAGGTGAACGGTGCCTAAGAAATGACTCCTCTAGCCTCATGCATGCACACCTGCATGCGCGCAAACACGCAGACAAAAAAACTAAGAATACCTGACGGCCTCCCCACCTACCAATACATCGTAGTACCCTCCGTCTCCCTTACAGTTAACTGAGTCTAACTTCCCGCCTCTCGGTAGCTTTACTGGAGATTTTAGTTGTCTAGTTTTTGTATCAGTTTCACCAGGTCCATCATCGTTTGCAAGACAGGAGACAGTTGCATCCATCTGTTCGGTCTTATTTGACACGGGCTTATGCCACGGACTATCCAAAGGCTGTCCAGGTCCTCGTACCTGCCATCGGTGTTTCCATCCTGGTGGCTGACCTCTCTCTGGTAACTAGGAGGACTCAGTAACAATGCAAAGAATGGGGGCCTCCTTTATACACTTTGTGTGTTCTAATATGGACATGCCTGCTGCACCTATGGCTACATGCACATCCTGAAGTTCTTTTTATTTATTTTTTTTTAATAAGCCTACAGCACCTGGTATTCCCAGGTGGTCTCCCATCCAAGTACTAACCGGGCCCGACCCTGCTTAGCTTCCGAGATCAGACGAGATTGGGCGCGTTCAGGGTGGTATGGCCGTAGACCATCCCGAAGTTCTTAAGTGCAAGACGAAAACAGTTGTTGAGCGCCACGTTCTCCCTGGTACAAGGTACTGGAGACAACCTAAGAGGCTGTCTTAGTTGGGGTTTCTATCGCTGTGATGAAACACCAGTCCAAAAAAGCAAGTAGAGAAGGGAAAGGTTTATCCAGCTTACACTACACAATGCTGTTCATCTCTGAAGGAAGTCAGGCCAGGACCTCAAATGGGGCAGGAACCTGGAGGCAGGAGCTGATGTGGAGGCCAGGCCCAGGAGTTGTCTACTGGCTTGCTTCCCCCTGGTATGCTCAGCCTGCTTTCTTATAGCACTTGGGGGCCCGGGCCAGGGACAGCACCACCCACAGTTGGCTGGGCTCGCCCCACATCCACTAATTAAGGAAATGCCTTACAGCTGGATCTCATGGAGGCATGTCCTCAACTAAGGCTCCTTCCTCCCTGATGACTCCAGCCTGTGTCGAGTTAACACACAAACGCATCCAGTACAGAGGCCATCTGTGCAAGGGAGCCCCACACAGACCCACGGTTGTCATCCGAGGTGCATGGTGGGAAATAAAGCAGTGACATTCCCAAAGTATGCCCTCCCCCTTTCTCACTGTTGAGTGGTGAAGGTTGAGGATCCCCAGAATGTTTGGGACCAGGCACATTCTGGATTTCAGAGTTAACAGCTGGGTGTCTCTAATCGGAAACTCCAAGATCTAAAATGGACGTCCCAGCCTTCAGATTTGAGCGTGGCACACTCTGCCCAGCTATGGCCAAGAGCCTCCTAGAGGCTTACACCCTGAAACATCGTCAGCGTTTCTGGCTGTCCGCAGCTAGAATATCTGGTTCTTAATCACAACGAGGAGGCCTAAAGACGTGGTTCTCATAACCCTTTCTCTGTTACAACCTGCATCTAACTCCCTGGCTGCAGGAGAGCCATACCCCAGAGGGGAGGGGCCGTACCCCAGCGGGAGGGGAGAGCCTGGTGAATTCCTCCCCACAGTCAGCGTTTCTGGGGAATATCTGAAGCAAGGGTTTCTAACTTTGCCACTGCTGCCATCTCGGCCAGATAATTCTTTCTCACAGAACCACCCTTTGCAGGCCCCCTTGACTCCACCCTCTAGACGCCAGCAGCACCCAAACTCCGTGTGTAACAGCCACAGATGTTACAGATATTACCAAACAGTTTAAAATAATCTGAAGTCTTGCAGGAGTCCCATGCCTCTGTTCTTGAGAACACATTCAAGGGCAACATCTTGTAGCCTGCTGTAACATGGAGATGTGGCTTTGACGTCCCAGACACAGAAAGAAAGAAAGAAAGAAAGAAAGAAAGAAAGAAAGAAAGAAAGAAAGAAAGAAAGAAAGAAAGAAAGAAAGAAAGAAAGAAAGAAAGAAAGAAAGAAAGAAAGAAAGAAAGAAAGAAAGAAAGAAAGAAAGAAAGACGGGGTGAGGGGGAGAGGGGTTTAAAGGGAACAGAAGA